TTTGGGCCATACTCGACCGGCAAGTCAAGAAACAACCAAAAAACCAACTTCGAAGAGCGATCTACTCCAAGTTTTGAAGCAAGAGTGAGCGAACATCCCACAATCTAAAACTGACGAGATGATTCTCACGATGCCACAAAGGATCAACGAACTCCACGAAGCGAAAGGAAGATCTACTAGATATTAATGAAATTATAAATATATCAATTCATGTGAATATGACTGAAATTTTTCATTTTTTTCTGAAAAGGTTGTGTCTATTTACTTGTGACTAGGCTGTGTATATATATATATATAAAATTCGCAGTATAAAACAATAAAAGATAGTATAAACCAAACGGGGTTTGGTTCTTCCATGGTTTAAGTTATAATATCAAATGGCAGAAGATCATTGGAAGTCTTAGATAACAAAACTAGAACAGTTTTCATTTTCTCTCTTAATCATATAATCTCTGTGATATTACTATGATATGATATGTATTATATGATACGTTGTTACTACATGTATATATTCTTTTGGCTTTCTAAGAATAAAAGTGTTGTTTAACGTTGTTTTTCGAAATTCAAAATCACAATAAGTGGTACATTGCTGCAATAGAACAAACCTTAAATCCTGTTGGGCACCAGTCCACAAATTGTATGGATCTCTTGGTTTTAATGGTGGCGATGGCAGCGTTTACATCTTTAGGTACTACATCACCACGGTACAACAGACAAACTGCCATGTATTTGCCATGACGGGGATCGCATTTCACCATCTGATTGGACGGTTCAAAGCAGGAATTGGTAATCTCTCCGACAGTGAGCTGTTCGTGATAGGCCTTCTCTGCAGAAATAACCGGAGCGTATGTTGCTAATGGAAAGTGTATCCTGTGGAATTTATCTTAAAAATTATATTAAAGAAAAAGCTACCAATTCAGTCATTTTATAAATATTCCAACTTTGTATAAAGATTTTCAAGTTATTATAAAAGTTGTTATCATATACCAAAATGGCTGTGGTTGCCACCATATTTACGTTATCTAATATATTTCACAAACAATCTTTTGATTTTTCATTTTGTTTTGAAAGTAATAAAGTAAAATACATCAAAATTAATAAATAAATGTTAAAGAATGCTCAATAAATAGAATAAACTTCATAGGCCTACTTTATAGACCTTCAGTAACTTTAAAAGGCATGCCATTAAAACTTATCGCAGGCTTGAACCTGGTTCGAGTGCTTGGCATGCTCAACAAAATTTAGTTGTCAGTTTTCAAAAATACTTAATGTATTATTGAAAATTATAAGTTCTTTGAATCAAAGCTGTGAACTAAGTTTTGTGATACGTAGTAGAAATGGCAGTTTTGCCTTAAACTTTTAAATCAGCTTATTTTATATTTCGTTATAGCTCTTGAGAGTTAACACATTCATACAGGTAAAATTATATTTCTTAAATTTATAAACATATTTTTTTTTACGATATTAAGAGTCCTCCAAATTGAACTATATCGCATACACGTACATGTTGTCTTGAATCACGTGACTCAGAACTTTTGCAAAAAAGACACCTATATACTGTGTATCTACTAGTTTAGTAGATAAATTAGCAAGATATCTTAAGTTTACACAACTGAAATGAAGTGTTCCAATGGAAACTTGAACAAGGTAACCCCCGTATCTAATCGCTTGAAGAACTTCAAGAGAGCTATCAATCTAGTGTGATTCGTCAAACACAACTAAATCTACTGTGAAACAAAAAACAAGACATAAATAAAAAACGGAAAGAAGTGTCTGTTTCCAAGTCATTCTTTCAAGAGTCGAGATATAAATACGTTACCTGTAATTACGTTACAATACACTGTCAACATACCTTGGATAAGGTACCAAGTTAGTTTGGAACTCTGTCAGGTCAACATTTAAGGCGCCATCAAATCGTAGAGATGCAGTGATAGAAGACACTATCTGGGCAATCAGGCGGTTGAGATTTGTGTAAGTTGGTCGTTCGATGTCCAAGTTTCGTCGGCAGATATCATAAATAGCTTCGTTATCCACCATAAAAGCACAGTCTGAGTGTTCAAGTGTCGTATGGGTGGTGAGAACAGAGTTGTAAGGTTCCACAACAGCTGTTGAAACCTGAACAGTAGGTTTAGCAAGAACAACTATAAGAATAATAACAAGCAGAAAGTTACGCTATAGTTACAGAAACGAGTCTGGGCCTTCCAGGCATTTTATTGTGTTTGCATATATTTCTGACATCAGCAGAGTACTATTTAATTTGATTTGCAATCTCTACCAAATTAATGATTCCCTCGAAACTCGAATGTCCAATGAAATTAAAAAAAAACAATAATTGTTTCGTAGAATAAATTTAAATATTGAGAACTTTTGCGTAATGGTTCAAATTTCATCTGGTTTAGCCCAATACAAGGCACTTAAATGTTGGGAGCCGCAGTAAACGTGTAAACAGTAATTCGTAAGCACCATATGTATATATGATGCTTATGAAATCATAATCTTTGTGACTACGTTTTAATTATATTTTATTAAGCACCTATAAATTAATGAAAGCGAACGAAGTGGCATTTGTAGAAGAGAAATATTTAATTGTTAATTTTATGCAAAGTTATTTCGTTATCTAGAAGTAAACAGAAGATTATTATTAGCTTATTTTCATAGTAAGTGTATATAAATAGTTGGTTTCCTAATTTGTAAACGACGTATTGTAATCCACAACTATTATCTTCACCAGAAGTGTTTAGTCGGCATACTTATCTTGGGGTCACACGAGATATCTATTATAATTTTTCGCATTATTTTAATGATTAATACACAATTTTTATCTGTTCTGAATATTGCGCTGACCTTACTATCTTAATGCGCATGCGCGTACACTACAACAACTGTGAACAAAATACGAATGTAAATATACTTTAGTAGACATTTTGTACAACAATATATTAAAAGCTTATCAAAGTTTTTAAAAAATGTCTAACGTTAGGTCGTAGAATAACATTATAAGTTTATTTATTGATAATATTAAGTATGGTAAAGTAATAATCTTAAAATAAGACCCAAAACTCAAGCGCCTTCGAATAGTTGACTATTCTTCTTTGTTATCCTGAAGAAGAATAGTCAA